TATATTAGGGCTGTGTCCACAAAAGCCTGGTGTTAGGGGGGCACAACCTCTGTATAGAGATCTCAATGAATATTTAATTTTATTTCAAACACATTCTTCATCTACCGCTTTCAATCATTAACCTTGAAAGATTTCCATGTTTTGTGTCAATTAAAAATGTGAGTGGGTGGATCCACCCACAGAGTAGTACGATCATTGTCCCTCTAAAAATAAAGTGTCTCTCACTTCTGTGCATGATGTCATTTTTGCATTCATTCCTTTACCATGGTTACTAACACTATGTAAGATTGTGTTTCGTTTACTAAAGGTCCTCGATATGTCCGCTATTGTAATTCTAACATGTCAGATGTTGAGTTCTACTGCAGATATTATCCAAATGCTGTTAACTGTTACAAGAAGACATCACAAAGCAGTTTGAAAACTGTACGTAGTAAAGAACGCTACTTTTAAACCTACGAGATCACTTGCAAACAACAGTCTAGAAGCCAAAGACAGGTCACACATTCAACGATGAAAAACAGCACAATATATTAATTACTTCCTTATGAGTTCAATCAATAAGAAAGAAGGGTTTCTCTTTCATTAATCTCACACAAACAGCTCACCTATTCAGAGATCTGAATTCCATTCGCTCAGTATTCGTCACAGCACAACAGCTAAACAGTCCAAATGGAACCGGACCCAATAAAATTTGGCTTGTATAAAAGGATATTATTTACGGAAATAAACCAGGAAAATACGAAATTTTATTTTATTTCATTTGCTTCGCTTTGTGAGTGTATCACAGACGATCAGTACTGAAGAATAATGTTTGGCAGAACTCCTTAGATGGAGGATTTAGCCGCTAGTAAGACACAGAATTGTTAGAAAAGAATTACATGAGCAGAACGAGGCTTCGGTTAAATTTCTTGAAAATACATTTATTAATATATTGTTTGCTTGTCTTCTGGGATGTAACGCCACGTGTTCCTGTACATATTGGCTGACGTTTCAGAGGATCTTACTTCCAGCATCATCACCCACCACTACCAGGATAACGATGTTGGAGGCAGTAAGGTCCTTTTAGTCTTTGGGCAATATCTACCAATCTCGATGGAGCAAAACATCCCAGAAGACAGCCATCTTTATTTATGTTGCCGTGATAAACTACTACTGTAGATATATCTAAATGTGTTCTCACACAATTAGATAAATTAATAAATTAGATGGATAGGATACAACGAAAAATGTTGTGAATTATGACAGTCACCTTGTACTATTACGATTATGAAATTAAGGATATTACGATGGGTTAAACACAGCCTACAGCTCGTATGTAAAAAAACAAGACATTTCGCTATAAACGTGGCGAAAATCGTGTTAGAAAGTGGCCACTTCGAAGACCGATGAGTAGAAGGAAAACGTTATGACTGTTCTTCGTGAAAAAGGTTAGAGCAGCGTTTCTTAACCTATAGTACGCGTATCACTGGTGGTACGCGAATTAAGTAAGAAAATCAAAAGATAATATTAACATAAATACGTTTTCCTGAACGCACTTGGTTAGTGGTACATTTAGTGTATTAAATTAGAATTAGTGGTACGCCAGCGAAAAAGGGCGAGAACCCCTGGGTTAGAGGATCACGGTAGAGACATAAAGTAACAGGAACTGGATCGAGTCAAAGGACCTTCAGCTTGCAGGGAATCTATTCAAGGCGTTTGTTCTTCTGAATAAGCACCTCTAATAATGATGATTTATTAATTCAGCTGCTAGATGTTGCCTCAGAAATCAAATACAATGGCTTACACAAACAAAACAAAAGCCTAGAAAAGTTTATATTTTGTTCACGGCATTTTCTCTGCACCATATGTGTCCTGGGCCGATACTTGAAGTAGGTAGAATCATTTCCTCCAAACAGATGTGAAGGTCACAGGTTACAGCCATGATTCAGTCACCGTAGCATTGATCTTCAAGAGGGATTAAAGTAAGAGCGAGTCTGTCAATAATTTAGGAGCGTCTGATATCGCACGCCTCACTCATTTAAACCCCCCAAATCTAAGAATGAAATAGGAATGGAGTGAAAGTGGAAGAAGAAAGCACGGCAAAAGGAAAAACAAAGAATAAAATACTAATGTAAAACATTTTTAACACTGCCCTATATTTAAATTTTTTCCAGTCGAAAGCAGAGGTAAACTCCGGAACATTTTCTGTTTTACTGGGTACAGCAACACTTTTTCCTGTCTCTGCCACGTGTCATATAAGCAACTCGCATTAGTCAATGGGATTTTTTTTATTCTACAATAGAAACCATTTAAAACAGTTGAAAGACAGAATGTTTTCAAAAGAAGTTTTTACTGCTAAGGGTAAGTAATTGTGATCTCCAAAACGCCCAAAGCTATAATAACTTGTTAACGTTTGTTTCAGCGCTAGATTAGAGAATGCGTTTATTTCATCAACTGTCTGTATCATCCGACCTAAACCCAGTATCCTGAAGCGTTACTAGACACGTGGCACATGAAATAACGACGTAATAATTAGTTTGCTTCAGGATTTGATATTTTGCATCTGACAACGAAATAACGAGGACACAAAACATTCTAAATCTTCAAAGTGGCTCGTGTAATTTCTTCTATAATTGGGTGTAAATATAGCTTGAAGAGATATTGAAACTATCATTGGATTTAAACCATATATACGTCCGTAACATTTGTCTTACGCCCATTATAATACTGCTTTGCTAATACGTAGGCTCAGACACGTGGAAGTGACAGCCAATGACGAGTAGATAATTGTTAAAGGGCCTTGTATTCCAAAGCAGTTACTCTCACTTAATATTCTAAGATTTACTGTAGAGGCAGTGTTGAGGTCAAAGTGGCTTGATACCTGATACATATTTAATTCATTTAGGTCAGATATTGAAATTTACTTCACATTAATTCTAAATGAAGTTCATTCGATGTTATTTGAAAATTATTTTTGAATTCCCGCGTTCAGCGTGGGATGTCTCGGGGTCAGAGTTCGATGCAGTTCCTTCAAAAATAAAGAAAGGATAATTTATTTAATAAATTGTAGTCACTGAACCTTAAATTAGGTTTTGTAACATATTGTATACTAGTTTAGCCATTCTGCAGTTCATTTACAGAATATGTGCCTGTGACATCTTATCAATATTCTAAAAATGAATTCATATCATTCAGTAGGCAGTGTCTTTATCAAAATACGTAGTACAATTTTAGCCAACTGAACTTCTATTATGATGTCTGACTTACGGAACCGAACCAATACCCGGTGCACACCTCTTGTCCCAACCATGCGTGCTACATTCCCCGCCCATCTAATTCTTCTCGACTTAAATACCCTGACAATATTGGGGGAGGAATACAGATTTTTAAGCTCATCATTATAGAGTTTTCTCCATGCCCCATCGTCTTCTCTCCTAGGCCCAAATATCCTCCTCAACACCTTGTTCTCAAACACCTTCAATCTGTGTTCCTGCCTCTGAGTGAGAGACCATGTTTTGCACCCATACAAAACAACAGGCATAATTATTTTTTTGTATATTTTAATCATTAGGTTCTTAAAAATCAGGCAGGAAGACAAAATATTTTGAACTGGGAAGTAGCAAGCATTTCCGGAATTTAGGCTCCTCATAACTTCCTCATGAGTATCATTTTGATATATGATTCTTATACCACTCAAAATTTTTTATTTTTATTTACATTAAATCGAATCCATGACATTTTTCAAGGTTGCTCGTTATTTAAGGAGGTTTCTGATGCCATGAATGTATGAAAGCAAACATTTCCCTTTTGAATACAGGAGAGTAGACTAGGGTTAATATCATCATCATCATTATCATTATCAAAATATATTAAGGGAAATGCGCTTATAATTCAGCGTCAAACCTTTTCGTTTAGGGTCGTTACGTAGTTGAATTGGAAAATAAGTTACATGTGAAATTAATTAGTCTTAACTGAAACGGTGATTCCAGCTTTAAGATGTGCGCTTTTCAATCACCGTTTTTAGGCTCTTTCGCAAAAATGCGTTCGTCTTCTCGTACGCACGAATTAGAGAACAGATACACCGATTTTTAATTAAAAGTGTTGGAGAATTTTACGATAACTTATCGAGCCATTTCACCTTTTTTCCATCTCATAATCTGAAGACCTGTTTGCGTTAAGAGCGAAAATTCGCTTATCAAGCCATTTGTACGTCGGTTTACGTTAGTATATTACTAGAACTTCATCGTCTCGCTATATGGAACAAGTCTGATGCGATGTTAGCTTGCTACAGCAAAAGTCATACGCATCTGATCAACAGAGATTAAGAAACATTCGATACAGTACACGTGGCCAAACTGCAATTCACCTATACCACCAGCTTGTCGGTAGAAGCATAACAAAATCTTACACTGCACAAGCCAAAGGCATTACCAACATAGGAACTACGACATCCGAGCTACAAAGTACGCTCCGAACAAATTTTTACAGTGTGAATCGATGCTTCCTTATCAGCTTGTCTTTTACTTCAACGGTCATGGAACGTGCATATTAGCCCCGATATGGTGGAAAGGGTGAGGGGGGGGGGGTAGAAGGGACAAAAAACAGAAGTTCAAAAACAAAGTTCCTTGACTTTAGATTCCGAGCCTAGAGAAATGTCTCGCCACATAAAATACTGACATGTATATTTCTTTCGTACCGGCTGCGCTGTGCGTCATGTAACAAAGCGTAATGAATTTTGTGCAAATAAAAGCCTTTAATGGCACACAACCAGATGCAATATGAAACGCGAGATGACTATTGACAAATATTTAACGGATAAATAAATTCGATTATGACCAAATAATCTAACAGAAAGGACAATGTGACTAAAATATATAATATTTAATTCATTCAATGTACAGTTTCACAAAAAGAAACCTTCTTCTGTTATTAAGCTATAATTCAATACTAACGCAAATTTTTAATTCTTCTTCTTTTGTAAATTTATATTGAAGTTAATTATTTTGGAACTAATTCGTATTAATGTTATTGCCTTCTTATATTTGTTATTGAAGGTAAAATATACAAATCACTGATTATTTTTCTCTATTTAACTGTTCAAAAGCTAAACCCAGTTACGGATCAAGGGCTACCAGATGTTGCTGGAATGTGTTTGTTTTTATAACTGTGCCTAGTGCACGGAAAGAATGTTTTGCAACGTAGAATTCCTCTGCTGTCCAATTGAACTTAAAAACAGACATTAGAAAGCAGCGGCTATCCAAAATAAACAACCATCAAGAGTAGCTCGAACAACAAATAGAGCATTAAATTAAATAACCTAACTCAAAGAAAATATAACGCATCTACAATACGCAGATCATTGGTTCCTGCTACTTAGGAAAATAATAGCCAATTATCCCAATCATGATATGAATCAAGTGACTATACATGAATCTGAAACAGCATTAACAGCATATATGGGGATTAAGTCACATGCTTGATTAAAATAGAACTCAGTTTGACGACGTTCACTCTATATACACATACACATGTTCCTTACAGACGTACAAAATTCGAAGTATTTCTTCTGAAATTAGAAAAAAAAAATAACTTAGTGCATTTCAGTACTATCAACCACAGTCAAATAAACAATCTCTACGGGATTACTAAATATGTACGTAACATATAGTTGCATACAAATATGTAATACATATTAATTCACGCAGTAAATCTTAAGGGAGACACAAAACCGTCAAGAGGAAAGATGTGGCCAATATATTACGGTACTGTATTTAATATTTTTATTATTCCATGCACAGTACTGAACCGCCAACTTACGAAAGACGGATTTTAGCTGTAGTGTGTTCTAAATGGATATAATTAGATGCTGTCAGTTGTTTCTTCAGTACAGTGTTACGTGTTACTGAGATTGTAAAATTATTCAAACATAAAAATAAGTTGTTTACGAGGTTAAGACCTTATATTAAAAATAATTATTTATTGTTTTAAAACAGAGAGTAAGATTTCTCATACCTATGATGTAGTTCGCAGATTCATAAAAAAGTATCATTATCTGACTGTTGTAAACTAGTCTGTGCAATAACGCTTGTGCGACGTTTACCTTGCAGTATTTCATTACGTCTGTCAAGATATGACAGCTGTAAACTATGCATAATGACTCTGACAGCCGGGTCTAGAAGCGTATTACACTCGCTGGTGTTCTTGAAACGAGGAAACTGTACTGACAAAAAGCGAACAAACCTTCTCATTTTGCAGTTAGCGCTACTACTTCGTATTTTGGACGGGATATTCGGAGTTCGAATCTCTGTCCGCAAGCCGGGAGTCGAAGTCAAAAGAACGCTGGAAGAAATTAATTGTCAAAGAGGGAAAGTAGACAACGTGATGAAAATGTAATGAAACATACAGTTTGTTTAAATAAAGTAGCTGAACACGAGATTAATTAACATTAACACGTTAAAATGAAGTGTTTAGTTAACAGAAACCACTTGAAAAGAGTCTTTCTTTCATGTAAAAAATTTGTAGTGAGCAAAATGTGCCCAGAAAATAATTACAAATTTACACAATAAACGAATCGGAATGCTGTAATAAATATGTTTTATGGCAGTTACTTCCAATTTTTTTGAGAGTCTTGGTACTTAATGATTTTATGTCTTCTTCAACAGATGCTTAGGACAGAATTAAATACGTTGATACTGCACTTACTTTATTCCACAAGCGTCTAACAACTCGTGTACAACTTGCTTATGTACATTCATTAATTTTATTTCAATATTTTTTGTGATCCGACTTCATCCTCGCACTAAGTGAATGAAACTCAAAGGCCACTCGTAGCTCAGCGGACCGTAGTATCGGAATCACTATAAGACATTTTATCTGTATGAAGGAAACAAGACAGCTATCTTTACAGAATCATATGTTTTAAAATTTAACATTTGCGTTTTGGTTTCAGTTTGAATTACATGCTACTGCGCATGTACGAAGACGCCTTACAAAATGCATGAAAAACAGTTATTTCAGAAGGCACTGGAAAACAATTAATTTTTGTACTGTGAAGAAATGGTAACTTTTTATTTACTGCAAATTTAATTTTTACGTATAAATGTATTAATTCTGGCACTAATAAATCCCTAGTATATATAATAAAATCAAATACACAGACCAATTACTAAAACTATAAACAAGTATGGGAATATAAATGCAAAACACTTGTGACCATCAAATTTGCACAAGCAATTACATTAGTGGTAAACTTTCGTTGATATCCTACGGTGGGGTAGCCATATGAATGGACCCTGAATTAGACATCTGACGTTAAAGGTCGCTAGTGTGCTGATGAATTGCCGTATTTTCCCTGGGAACTGGCAACAAACTGCTTTGTTTGTGTGACAGGATAACGGAGTCCCCACACAAACATCCAGCAACTATAAATACGTTACAGGCCACCGTGTGGCACATCATGTTGGGTGTAGTTGAGCGTAAATGGGTATCAGAGCGGTAACACCTGGATTTTGCGTGAGTGACAAGTCAGCAGCCCAACACAGTCGGTGCTTTAGCGCCGCCAGGCGTCGTCACTCATATCCCACGCAGATTGTGGGTACAACACAGTCCTTGGTCACGACTAAGCTACAGACAGGAGGCGGGGACAACAATGGACATTATGCCGTAAACATAACCTTTAAGCTTTGTTATGGTATGCCCCAGTGAATATAGAACTCAGCTTATCCTCTCCCGACCATACACCATCAACAGATTACTATTAGTAGTAGTAGTGGTGGTGGTCAGTTCCCTCAAACCCCACTGCCTCAAACATCTGACAATCTTACGAGAGGAGCTAATAGACCTTCATCGCGATTGTAGGGTCTTCCAAACCACAATGGTAATATTGTGGCCCCCTCGCCATAAAATACAGGCTCAAACATTTATTCAAAACACAGACCATCAAATTCTAAAAATTCGAATATGCCTCGGGGATGCGTATACGGGCTGATTCAAAAGGTTAGACTCAGAGAGAACAACTTTCGAATTGTAATCCATGTCCTCCGAAGTTATCCTGAGTTATTCGAGGCCATTGAAGGTAGGGAGGTCTGATAACATACCGCTGGAATAATCGTACTTTGCTATTCTCCTACTAGCCTAATTTTGAATCACACGTATCCCGTCAGATTCTACAGAGGCCCCTAGGCTGTTTACATTGTGTTTGTGAGTTGATAGTGACTGGTGTACCCCTATCTTCAATGGCCTCGACTGACTGAGGATAACTTCGGAAGGCATGGATTCCTATTCGAAAGTTGTTCTCTCTGAGTCCCTCTATACGCTCCTTCAGTTTGGCCCTAAAATTTTGAATCACCCTGTATATCTGGCAAGGACTACACTAAAAATACTACTGCACGTCAATATTACACTAGTTTGCTGCTGGCGTATTGTTGTAATACCTGGTGTCCTAATTACATTAGGAAGGGAATCATCAATTAAAGCAGATTATTCCATAAAATTGAAATGTAACGTAATTGGACGGCATATGTCTGTACATTCAAAACAAAAGCAATATTATATTACACTTCTGTAGCAACACGTAACCGAACGTTTTGGAAAGCCATCACCGCAACTGAACCCAAGAGATGGCTATAATATCATACGGTGCGGTGTTAGCGCACTTCAACTCGAGACCTCGCTGGTTAGAATTAGGGTAGGCACGCTGGCTTCTCTGACGACTATAAGCAGATAATATAGCAGCATCAAATAACCTAAGAAACGAAATGGCAGGTAAATAAATACATCACCAAATTTATTCAAGGCAGATGTTCTTTTGCTTTATTTCACTTCGCACGCAAGATATCATCTTCCACGTTTCCCTCCCGCCTTCCTTTCTTCAAGCTTGTCTCTTCTTTCCCTCTTTTTGATCAGTCTCCTACGGTCTCTTAGTTCACGTTGTAGACGTTCTTATCTGATTTGTTGAGGTGAACGTTCTGTAGAATTCATCAGTTACGACCTCGTAAAATCACAGTCTTTACGTATGCAGACAACAGATAAAGGACAGTGGGATTCGAACCTTCGATTTCGGTGTTCAATACGTTAAAGACTGTGGAGCCGTTCCGAGGATATATTTTCTCTATTTTCAGCAGACATGGCACGAAATTTGTATGATAAACTAGAAGTGTATTGGAAGTATAAAGATGTAAGTAAAATAAATAAAAAGAAAGGGATAAAATAGGAATAGAAAGAAGACAATCCAGAGGTTAAAACAAGCCCAAAAAATATGAATGAAATATGTAATACAACTGAAAATTACATAGGCGAAAACAAAGTGTTGCCAGAATTATTCATATTATATTTACATCAAAGGCATTGACGTTTTATTATAGCACATATTTCTTCTACTACGATTTTTTCGAAGTAATGAAATAATTACAGAGGTTTCAAAACGTGAAAATTATAATTCAAAATTCAAGGCTGATTTCCGTTCCTCTATAAAAAATCTATTCGCATTCAAAAATTTATATAGGTGAAATAAGGTATAATAAATGTTTTGTACTACATGTCAGGATGCAGGGAAATTTAAACGTCAAAATCAGTGTTGTAAGCAACAGATATTTAAATTCAAGTGATTGATTAATGCCACTTGTTGATTTTATTCGACGTTCCTTATTATATAAAGGACAGACAAATTGCATCATATCCGTGTGTTTTTTCTTAATAATTGATGAATATTTATAAAATTTTAGTACGAACATCTTGTCATTAGTGGTTATTCCGTACTGAAATTTCAAAACTTAATACTAAAATGGCGGCCCTGATAACATCCGAGGTAGAAGCGAACTATAAGTGGAAACGTTCTAAAACAAATTTGAGAGACGGAGAAATTTAAGTAATTCGGAGGGTGAGAAACCACCCCTAAAGGCGGATGAACCCGGATGGGTTAACGAAAGGTAAGGGAAAGACACCGTATTACAGTTCCTCAGGAATACCCAAGTATCAGCAGTTCAATCTGCTGCCAACCATTCCTAGGATTGATTACAAAAGAAGAAGAAGAAGAAGAAGAAGAATAGCCCCATTAAAGGTCATTAAATTGATTAATGAGGATGTGTGGGCTACAAATTATTAGCATAATATTTTGAGCATTACGAAGACTTAGAAACGAATCCTTTTCCATTGAGTTTGTGCTACTAAGGACTCAGTTACATCTGTGGTTATGTCCTGTTTATATTTCGAGAAAAAAAATGTTGCAGCGATTAAGTGACAAAAATCAACAAATCTCGAAATGAACAGTATGTCGTTATAAGTCAAAGTATTTTGATACTACTTCACTGCAATGAAAACCACCAGCGTGGCGGCCATGCGATCTTGTGTCTGAATGACAACACAACTTGTTCAGTTGTTCTGGAAAGTTGGATAACTTTAGATAGGCAAGCAAATTCTCTGAATTTAGAGACTGTTTACATCATTATCGTGTTTATGAAGCAAAACCGTCTACTAAGAGAATAATTTAATTCTTGATTAAAATTGAGTGAATAACTCATACCTATAAAATCGGCACGGTTAGTTGAGGTAACAAGCAATAGTAAAATACTCCGCAATTATAAATATTTCTTTCGATTACTGGGAAAGGCAATCATACTTTTACAGTATACCTGAATGTTGTGATTAAAACACTGCAGTATCATATACAAGAGCCAATCAGCATCTGCTAAAACAATTCCAATTAAATTACCAACATTCCGAGGGAATTATAATTTAGGAAGCTTTTTTCGAAGATACATAATATGCCATGACATAGATAAAAGGTTCCGATCGAATCAACCTAATCCAAGTTAATGGAACCCCTAAAATTCATACGTTTCATCAGTCATATGACGCATGTTGTAAGAGTACATTTTATGTATTACGAGGAGCTAAACACATATGTTGTTATTAAAGCGGAGCTGGAAATCCAATTAGCTGAGAAGTAAATGAGCGTTCTAATACAATTTTCAACCCGCTAATAATTTTACAACCGGCTCTCTGCAACACGCAAACTAATTCATATTATAAGAACAGCATGCCCACCTGAATCTCTATTAGCATCATTTAGTGATTCCACAGTACAAAAAGAGAAGTTCGTTCAGCTACTTCTGTGTACATAACTGGAATAATAGCAATAATAATGACAACATCAACATTGCGCTTATCGCCACGAGAACATTGTATTGTAAGCAAAATAGTTTGTTCGGCTCGTAATTTTGACACGTGTGTAACACTAAAATCAATAATCCACATAAGCCTCACTCTGCGCCCGTTTGATAGGCATTTTTATAACATGGAAGAGAGATCTGAAATTCATTACACACATAAAGAATAAATAGTAAGTGCATGGATCTGAATAAAGGGATAGTTATTAGTACAAACTCTACATCTAAGGCAGTAAGTCGGAGGGGAAGATCAAACAACAAACATAATTTTCAGGGCGATTATAACCCCGATTATGACGGAAGTAGGCACATCTGATATGTCTATAAACTTCTACCAAACAATATCCCAAAAGACAATCAACTTCATACCTTAACAAAGTTGAAACGTAACTTTTCGTGACAAAAAATAACAAAAATAATTGTGGTTAAGTTAAAACAAAAAGGAATTATTATATACGGAGGAAATGAAACAAATGTTGAGAAAATCCCAGAAGAAATGTACGTAGTACATAAATGGATTCTTAGTAATAAAGCGGAATATTATTGTTAAATTACATTTTTGTGATTCGGCTGATAAATACCTCATAGCAAACCAATTAACGTCACGGTGGTCTAGCGGTTAGAACGCTGGCCTTGTAATCCTGGGGTCTCGGGTTCGATTCCCGGCGGTGCCCGAATTTATAACTTGTGTTGGGCAAGGCCGTG